CTCGGCTTGCAAGTCCGTGCTAGCCTGCTGTGCCGGCCTGACCCGAGTGTCACGGGTTATCCTGGGTGGAGCTCCCACTTGGGATGCGCATGGTTTCCTGCACACATTAGCCAAAAAGGGAGTTATGTGGTGTAGTAGATCCACAGGTAACAGCCTGGGCAGTGTGATGCTGCCTAGCCAGGAGGATTTTTTAAGAAAAGCTGAAGATTTCCTCTGTGCCTAGCTTAGTCCCTCCTCCTGCAAATTGGAGTATGTAGAATTCGGAGGTCAGAGTTCAGCTTTTAATAATGGCAGTGATGATGATGCTTTGTTTTCCTAAGCTCTAGTCAAGCATGTCTTTATTTTTATCTGAAATAATTATACAGTTTTACCAGTAATGAATGCTTATGCAGAACAGGAGAACTGCAGGTAGTAGTTCTGCCAGGCTGCCTTGCGCTTGTCCAGAGTGCACTTGGGTGGGCTTCAGCCGCGAGGAGTTTGGATGAGATTCCCACACATTATAAATGCGCCTTTTTTTCAGGAGAACCAATAGCAGAGCCACATAAAGTATCTGAATTGCAATATTGAATCTTCCTGCTGCTTCTGGGCTGAAATCAAAGGAGGAGAGCCTGGTGTGTGTGTCCCCCACCTCCGTTGGCGCAGGCACTGCTGTCCGGAGGTCGCTGTGTTGCAATCTCCTTGTTGCAGCGTTCTGCTCTGCCTTCCAGACTCCGCTTTCATCATGGGCTACGTGTGTCTTCCCCCGACGTGAGCTGATGAGTCAAAAGTCTGTTTCTTCAATTAATGCATTGCATTGTTTTTTAAAAACTTGGATTTGGGACTTGCATTGAGTTTGTGTGTGTGGTGGGTTTTTTTTTTCTTTTAAGAGACCTATTGTATCTCTATGTAGGATATAGTTGAGTAATAGTGAAAGAGTGAGGAACTGCAGAAATCCGTGGGGTATTGCAGTGCAAATTAGTGTTGATTATGGTTTCAGAGGAATGACAGAGTTGAATGCGGCTTATCTGGGGCTTGTACGTGTAAGTAATTACAGCCTTGGAAGTTTTTGCTCTCTGGGATGAGGATGCCATGGTTGATTGGAGAGGAGGCTTCAATGTTATCTTGTCCCTGTACCTTGGCGGGTGGCCCGCGTTCCCGGTGGGGCTGTGCTGTGACGTGGGTCTGTGGGCGCTGGGCAGCGGTTCCGCGTCTCACCTGTCCCCACGTGCTGTTCATCAGGACTGTCTTGTTGTTCATCAGGGAGCAGCTTGTCCGGAGGGCAGGACGGGGCCGAACAGCCCCAAGCACTCGCACGAGCGCCCTAGCGAGCCCCTGAGCACCCATCTCTGGCTTTTTCTGTGTCTGAAGCTGCTAATTTGCTCTTTCAGGTTTATTCTTGTAGCACTTTGTGTAAGCGACCAGACACTTGCTGATTTCAACAGTTCAACTTGTTGACTTCAGGGGGCTCTTCAGCAGCTTTGGGTCATGGTGCTGCTTGTGGGGTCTTCAGTCTCCTGGTGAAAGCCCTTCCATGCCAAGTCCTGCTCTTCCACAGCAGCTACCCGTGTGGTCACCTTAGGATATGGTGAACTACCCATGCTCTTGAATTCTGGCACCTCACTGTCTTCAAGACTGCTTCTTTATGGCTTTCCAGTATTAATCTTTAAGTCAGAAATGTATTTTAAAACTCAATAATGAGTGTCTGGGAGCTTTATGGTAATGTTTTACTTAAAGATTTTTTTTTCATAACTATATACTGTTGTGCTGAACCAGGATAAAGGCTGAACTGCGCTTCAGATATTCAGAACTCTCTATAAGCTGCTCACTTTGAATAAACGAGGTTTAATGTTCTTGGCTCTCCAGTTTAGGGCCCTTGGTATTCTCTTTGCAAAATCAGCTTTTCCAAAGGAAGTTCTCTGGCCAAGATGGAGCTCCAGAAATGCTGACTCAGTGTGATGAAACAGCAGTAAAAATAATTTAAAAATTTCCCTCTCTCATTCCTCCAAATGCTTTTCCTTTACCAAAATTTTATATCAACGTAGTCCAGGGTGCTTGGGTAGAAGGTGTTTATCTGTGTTGGGTGTGGGGAGCTATTGGTGAGTAAACAAAACTTTTGTTTTATTTTCCAGTATAAATGTTTTGCTTTTTTATTTTCAAGAATACTTTGCCGAATGGTAGTACTTTCAGTCTATAAATAAACTGTAATAGTGGGCCCAGGGCCTCTGTTCTTAAACCAGATCTGTTTTATTTTTCTGCTTTTATTATGGAGACTTCTATTCCTTGGGGTGAAATGGAATTCTTAAGTCTGTGCTTGCAACCATGTGTGTGTTAGAAGGAACTGCATTAAGGCAGAGGCACGGTGCATTAACCCTGTTTAGAGATGTGGAACTTCTCAGGAAAAATAATGCCGAACCTGTAAAAATAGCTTCTGGCAGTCTGAAAAACAAAAGGCAGATTGAGGCTTCCTATTTTTTGGCTATGCGCTTGTTAACTGATGTTGTCAATTGCTTCCTTGATTTGCAAAAGCATAAAACGAAATCCCGTTTTTGTTTTTCTGCTGTATTAAGATAATATATAAAGTAGGCTGATGTTTCCTCAGTTAAAAAGTCACCTGTACAGATAAATATAAAGTTAGGCATGATTCAGACAAGAACATAGTTTGTGTTTGTGCTGTTGCTAGTACTAACCAGCAGATTCAGGCTAGCTAACCTTCATATTTCCGTCTTGTTTTCTTAATTTTTGCTTGCAGATCTTTTTAAAAGTCATTTTTAGTACTTAAGAAATGTGAGAATAGACATGATATCTGCCCTTACGTCCAAAAGTGCAGTGCAGAATCCGGGAACTCGCGTGTTCTCCAAATAACACGTGAAAATCAGTCATATGTGAAAGAAAATGGAAGTACGTGCTGAAAATATTCCTGAGTAATACTCATCTGGGTGCCCTACGTAGGCAGCAGCAGCTGTGTAGGTAGCTGCTGCATTAGTTTGGTGATGTAGTTTACTTTTCTCTCATAGAAATGAGCAGAGGTGGGCACTTATTGGGAGAGAAACACGTGAGGGATTTAACACTGCTTTTTGGGGTTTTGTTCTTTGTGCTGATATCTTATAATCACAGGATGTATTTCTCTTAATATATCTGCTGTAGATATTAGTGTTCCTGTTCTCTTTCCTCGATAATGGAATATATCTTTGAAGTGGCTGAACCAGTTTATTTTGCACAAATGCTGTTGGGTGGAGTCTCCGGCAGCAATTTAAGACCATGCTGGAATTTACTGCTAGTATAAGAGGTGCTTTAATACCACAGATTGAAAAAGTCAAATTATTTCCTATTTTTGAGTTGTAGGGCATAACGCTACTTCCTTCATTCCTTATTAGTGCTATTTAGACCGTGTTGTTCTTTGCAAGATCCTCTTGGGAGTATTTTCACTGATCTGAACTGCTAATCCATCTATTCTTCTCCTTGATATTGCCCCAATGCTTGTATTTAAATGTGCTTTAGAAAAAATGGCCTCCAGATAAAAAAGGAGGATGTTTTTAAGGAAACTGTTACTGTCTGCTCTCTAGCTGTGACATGCTGCTCTTGTGCACTTCTTCTGCTTTTATTAATGTCAAGTGCTAAGGCCGTGGTGCCCTTTATGCTTCTTTATGTTAATGCCATTGACCAGGGGGAGAAGATTGAGATGTAAAGGAGTTAATTTCTGGTTCATCCCATCGCCTTCCTTTCAGTAAAAGATAATGTTATCTGCCACGTGTTTAGCCCCAGCTGGCTGCTCCTCTGGCACTCGTGGGGCAGGACGTGGGGCAGGCTGCTCCAAGCAGCATCGCTAGGGCTTCTTAGGCTGCTCCAGACAGATCTGGATATCCACAGTGTGGATCAGAGAATTCCAACGAGCCTGCCTCTGTATTTTTATTTCTACTATTACATTATCAGGAAGGAATTTGGGAGGACTATTTTTACAATTGGCCTTCAACGAGGACTAAAGGAAACGGGGCAGATTGCGCCCGTCAGTGAAGTAACAGGAAGGGCCCCATAAACGAAGCTGAGTAACGTTTCCTGCGCGCGGCTGCGACAGAGCCGGCATTGAGGCCGCCGGCCGCTCCGTGAAAGGTGCATTCAGGCTCCGTGCCTCCGGAATCCCGGCACGCCAGCTGCAGGAGCGGCCGCAGCGAGGCCGGCTCCGCACGGCCTGCTATGCCAGGAGCTATTGCACCTCGCTTCACCGGAATCTCCCCGTTAAAATAAGGTTAATACGGAGGAATTGTCCAAGAGCAGGTCAAAACTCTTAGCCTACTATAAAGTCGATGTTTGATTCTGCTGCAGTTGGTTTCCAGCCTTGTTTCCTGCTTGGCACTTTCTCTGATGAAAGTGCGGAAGGAAAAGAACCAGCTCTTTGGAACAGGGAAAATGGGGAGGCAGCTCCTGCCCTGTAGCTGCCTTCCCGGGAACGTCCTACCTGGCGCTGGGCTCAAATGCCAGCCGAGTGATGAAGTTATTAGCATGGTAATATTAGCATATTACCTTTGTTTTTAAAGGCAGAAATGCATGTTGTGTTTTGTTTTGCTCTTTGAAGTATCTAAGCTGTGGTACAGCTGTGTCTGTAACAGATTCTAGAAAAAGCCATTTTTCCTCTTTAAGCGCTGTAAAATTGCGTGTGTTGGCAACCGTCTTCTCTTACCTTGGACAAAGTGCGGGTGCAAAGTGCTGTCGGACATTCCTTGTGCGCCTTTAAGAACAGCTTTTATCCGGCCGAGGGAATCCTGGGTGGCTTGGCAGCCTCGCCGGGCTGGGCGTGGGGAGCCGTCTCGGAGCCA